TTCTACTCTAGCTCCTTACCAGTTCCACGACAGTTCCACGACACTTCCCTGGCACTTTCATGGCGCTGAGTGGTTTCACAAATCACGGGTGATCAGTTAACTCTTTCATGGCGCAGTTGATTCTTCGTTCTTCATAACGGTCAAATGTTTCTTTATTATAATTAAGCAATTTCTTCTTCAGGACAATAAGCTCATATTTAACCTATCTATTTATTTTTACAAATTGTAACAAATATTTTATTAATGCTTTAATTATTGCTAAACTTATACATTATTAAGGCAAATGCAGTAGAAACGAATTTGATAAAATAAAGTGCTTCCGGGTGGCAGTATATGATTATGAAGCCCATTAGCTAATACTACATACAACCTAGTGATTAAAAATAAGAGACTATTTCTTAGAATTTCGTTTAGACTTGTTATTAGAGTTCGGAGTTATCTTTTTTTAGTCTTGTTCTTTGAACTCGGGGAATCGAAAGCAACCACTTGATTTATTTTTTTCCGTGGAGGAGAAAATTCACAACTGTTTTGTAAATTTTGAAGTTGATCGTCTGTATTTTCTTCATCATCTGAATATTGCTTTTGCTCAATAAATTCGATTGTTTCCTTAACAATCATCTGTGAAATAACAAAAATTATTAGACCTAAGCGATTGTAAACTACAAGTGCTTAAACAAAAGTACATACCTTTGCCTTCCACGCCAACATAATTACAGGAAGTACTTTTGAGCTGAATTGTGTTATTTGTGAGGGGATTTCCAACATTTTTGTTCGAGTTATTCAGCATGTATGCCAGCAGGGGAATCTAATCTAAGCAATAATATCATCAGACCTAAATTTCATTCAGAGAAATGATAAAATAAGTCACTAAAACAATATATATGTGAGGGACTCCATAATCAACACCTACCTGAGTGTATAAACCCGATAGATTGTAGTTTCCTTATCTTTTTCTCTTCATTGCCAACAGCTTCACACAAAGAATAAAGCATATCCTTCATCATCTTCGGAGCTTTTATACCTCTTTCATGCAAAAGTTTTGTCCCATTGTTACCTTCAAAAGATTTACCGGCCTCTGAACATCCGTACTCAGTAGAAACCTTTCGAATGATAAGATCTCCACGCCTTCCCATAATCTTTCTCTTCATCTTGACAATTGCAGATCCGGTTCGATTACGATTTTTCCTATTCGAGGATGCCCGGCTAGATGACTCCGACCTGATGCAAAAAAAATGTGAACCACTTATCATAGAAGAATGGTTAGTGTTATCTTCCCTACCTTGCGGTTTCCAATCCATCGACATTCCCAAATCCTCTGTCTACAAAATTCCAAACATGAACCAGGAGCCACAATTCCAGATGATCTTTCTCTAAACTCCCCGCTTCATATTCATGTAACCTGTAGATCAAGATAGAAATTAATAATCCAGGAATAAAAAGATATAATTTACTATTGGACAGAACCTACAAGTTGTACGCGGTATTTCGAATCCAATCATGGTCAAAATGTGTTTGTCGATTGTATGGAGAATCCCACTGCTGAGATTTAAATATAGCATTTCTAAGGCTTGAGATGTCGGACTAATTCAGGATGTACAAGTAAATGATCATAGTAGTATTATCAACAAGATATATAAAACTACCTACCACACGAAAACTGTTAAGGTACGTTAATAAGTCTTGGGGCATCTGTGGCATTGGCTTAAGTTTATGGTTTCGAATTTCTTCAAGTTCAGTCTCAGTAAAAACTTCTTCATTGATATAAATTTTATCATTTGGATCTATCACAAATGAATGACATAGGCTTTGGAAAGTCGCAAAATGTTAGATGTCAAGTAATAGAACCTGAGCTTTGCCCAATACATAAAGGATACTTACTGTTCGTGCCTGCATTTAACACCAAAATCGTGTAGTGCATCTTCTACTATTTTTCCCGTAGAAAGGGTCCATTTTTCCGAATGATTCATTTTTGAGTATGTCTTTTCGAATTCAGCCAAATCTATCTTTGACTTCAACTTATTATCATCTACATCAGTATCGTCATTATCAGAACTGTCATATGACGAATATTCTACATAGTCGGGATCGTCGGGATCATCATCATTAACAGATTCCGTAGATTCCGGATCAGAGTAATATTCTTTGGTTTCATCAGCCATCTTCATCTCCCTTGCAAATTCGTCGTAAAGTGGCGAATCGCTCATAATACTCTCATTGTCACTTTCATCATCGTGAGCTGGGGTCTAAATATTGAGAAGAAAAAGTTAATTACTACGCATGATGGTTTGTTGCAGAATATACATCGAAAACACCTTTCCATTGGTTTCTAGAGGAAAAGTTCTCGAGGAGCCTGATGGTTTGATTTGAGTACGTGGTAGTTGATTTAATTTTGTCCGTTTTTTCGGGAAATCTCGTTCGGTCTGTTCGTCCCAAAGTGTTATGATACAAAATAATTAGTTCCTGCTGATTCTCGACTTCTGGCTAAAAAACGTAACTGTATACCTTCTCCTCATTGCTCCTTTTTGATATAGTTTCTCTAGGTGATCCATTAGTAATAATCCCACCGTTGACAGTTCCGGTAGTTATATTTCCATTTATACTCCCGTTGAACTCAGTAACTGTTGGTTTGTGGATGTGGAGTTGGAGCGAACGATTTTGATTCCATTTTCTTGCTTTGTAGTAATCGAGTCGTGGTTCCTTTTAAATTAGAGAGTTAGTGATATCCTTGACTAGCAACCCTTTTTCCTATCCAATTTCCGATCCTACAGAACATCAGAAAAACCTAGCAGGTCATCTGTATCCCAGTAGGTCCAGTTCCAGATCAGCTATCAGCTGAACAAACACAAACAACCTAGCAGGTCATTTGTGCCCCAGAACTAGTTTGTAGCTCGGCTAACAGCCTTGAATGAACGAACTTCCTAGCAGGCTTCGTCACGCTACCATTACCACCTACACCCTAAAGAAAAAAATTTTTGCTTGCCTCTCTGTACTCTTCAAGAAGTTTTTGTGCCCTTTTAGACATGTCTCTTTGCCCACATTTAACGATTGTCTCGAGCTCTTTAACGTATTTATCTATTTTACGTTCGAATGGTTCCTCAGTACATTCCATTAGAAAACCTATGATACCCCACTTATCGGGATCACGTTTGAAATATTCGTGTTTCATGATAAGTATATTACGGCAGGTTAACATGATAATCTTTTTATCTTTTTATCCTCGTTCTTGACATCACGTGATATGGGTACACGGTGCATCACATGCGCATTACAGGGCAAATTGATACAAAATTTATATTATGTACAGTACTCGCACACGTTTAAAAATGCAAAGTAAAACATTTATTATATTTTTTTTTTCATAAAGTAGTACATGAGAAAGGGCCGGCTGGCTAAGTAAAAATGAAAATAAAAAATAATAGAGTAGCGGGTTGTTTCAAGGGAGGAAATTGCCGAGCCCCAACCCATATAATGGCAGTTCCTTCCCCGCTACTCTGCACTATTATTAAAACTAGCTACCCATGCGTTTATCTGATTAATTGTGCTAACTCTACTACCACTAACACCATTATAAAAATTTTTCACTGTTGAAGCCTTAATATTCCCCCCAAGACTATGAATATCAAGTACTACCGAGTTACACATCTCATCAAAAGTATAATTCCTCGCTTCCATAAGCCGATCGAAGTGTTGTTTAAAGCGAATTTTAATGTCTGAAGTAATATCTAAAATTCCAGACAAATTGGAACTTCTAGAAGAAGAGCTTGGAGAGGAATTACTTGAAGAGCCTCGCGAATTAGTTTCAGATTCATTGGTCGAATTAGCTTCAGATTCATTGGACACACTTTGTTGGTCAAAATCGGATCTTTGAACTACTGCGTAATGTTGATTTATTTCGTTTTGGAGATTTTCGATAACAACATTAATTCTGCTAAATTCATTACGGCAGGCTTCTTCGATATTATTAACTTTCGTAGTTATGTTATTGACCATTGAAAAAATTTTCTGCGCCTCAGAGGTGTAGCAAGCATCACGTGAATTGATTTTAGCGATTTCTGCGGTAAGTTTATTATTATTTTTGCTGAGCTCCGCAGTGAAAGAAGAATTAACTTCAGAAAGACGCGCGGAAAGTTCATCGATTTTGGTATTGAGTTCTGTGGTAAATTTACCACTAATTTCAGAAAAGATTTTGCCTATTTCCGCAGTAATAGTTGTATTGATTTTTGCATCATGTTCACTGGCTATTTTAGTGATGCGTGCGGAGAGCTCATCGGAAAACTGGTTTTTAATAATATATAACAAGAAACAGGCGCCAGCGAAAAGAAGAGAATAAAAAATGCGAAATTGGTGTGCCATAAGGCATTGCTTTGCAACATGAGTGCAGACATAATTTCAGAGTGAAGCGCGAAATGGAAAAAATAAGATAGATTTGTTTTGTGTTATTTTTTATTATTTTTTTATAGTGAGACGTTTGCTTGTCAAAACAGATCTATGGTTCTTTATATATGCGCTTACACGGCAAGGATTTTGTATTTACCCATCGATACTTGTAAAATTGGAATAGAGAATCCGCGTCGAAATATGGATCTGGGACATTTGGCTGAAAGCGCTGTGTATGAAAATGATATCATGTATACACCCCTTATTTCTGAAAAAAGAAAATTATTAAAATCCTATCCGGCGATTGTACCTAAAGACGAAAAAAGTTAGTGCATTCCCGTATCCCAATACCCCCTTATCCTCACAACATGTTTCAAACAATGAATAATATAATATTTTTCGTAAATGCTTGACCGTGAGGCCTTACGCAAGAGAAAAGTTTTTTTTATTAATAAAATTTTATCGAAATATCCGTTAGGTAGCTTTGCTATTATGTAGGTATAGAATGTGAATAAGCTATATTATAAAGTACTATTCTCTTATTTCATTTTTATCTAAAGAAAGATCGAAGGAAGAACTATATAAGATGTCGTTCACAAGAGAAATTTGATATTTTTTTTTCTTGCTTCGAACATATAATAAAGCAGGAGTTCTATTCGTTTGTGGCGCAGTTCGATTCAATGTTGTTTCATAATGAACATTCCCTCTAATAAGGATCGAATTGCGAAAGGAGAAAATAGGCAGGGTATTTATAAAAAATATCAGACAGATCCGCATAATTATTTTTGCGAAAAATTAGCCATTTCGGGT